GGTTTTATTCAAAAATTTTGGGAGTGACTATTTTTTCATATTTTTAATATTTCATGAGTAATAACTCTAGTCATTCTCGCGCGTGAAGCATAAACTATCAATTTTTCGTATATGAGAAGAGTTTTGAGACTACCAGTAAATCAGTACCATGAATTGTATTCACTCTATTTAGCTTAGGGTGATGAAGGACTGGTAGTAGAATTTTCCCACGAAGATATGGGTCAAGCGGACATTTCCACAGAATTTCACAGAGCCTTGCTTTCCTAAAAGTTTTCCTCATCCAGGGTAGACTGCAGTTTCGACCTCTCATAGGTCTTATCAACACCTCCAGCGGGAGTCGGACCGTGACAGTGCAGCATGTGAGCTTGGCACGTTAACCACTCAGCTAGTTTTCTACAAGTGCTGTTGGGCTAAAGGGCAGCTGTGAATTTCAAGAAATGTCAGACCTTTCCCATGTCACATTATTTGGTGGGATTGTCGATGAAGTAAACGTATTTTTGCTACAACAATTGACTACATTACTTATTTTTCGTATAAAAGTAGAGTTTCGAGACTTACAGAAAATCCCGCTGGGGGTGTTGATAAAAGGTCGAAACTGCAGTCCAGCCTGGATGAGCACGACTTTTGGGAAATCAAGGTGCTGTGAAATTCAATAGAAACATCAGCTCTATTTATATCATTATGGGAAAATTCTACTACAAGTCCTTAATCATCTTAAACCAAATAGGGTGAATACACATCATAGTAACAATCAATCTTTATCTCCCATTGAGCAATGTAGGGCTATTTAGGGTAATATAAACTAATTGTGTTTCTCAAACGACGAATGTTCCACACCATGAGGGTTGGATATAGCTATCTTGGGAGAGTTCTCTTAAATTTGTTTTCTCTGTTTCTTTCTTCCAAATCCACTTTGAAGCAAAATTCTATGGATAAATCAAGCTGAATTTTTTTGCCTATTCACTTTTTGCTCAATTGTGGCCCACTCGAAAGTTTAAACTTGTGTGTGATAGCCGAATTGGGGTATGCACCATCGGCTTAGGGGCTGCCACTCTCTCTTAGTCAAATTTGTGTCCTTTCTCTCACTGCGTCCATCTCTAAAATTCCTCCTTAAGTTCCCCGTGCAAGCGAGGTGAACGGCTCGACATATTCACCTACTTCGCAAAGAACGTCGACGGCGAATGTGTCCCAATCCGACAGTCCCAGATACGGCCCTGTTCGCTGTTGCCTGGTGATCACTTCTGCCGTTGCTACATCGTCGGAGATCCACACTACCGGACTTTTGACAGGCAATTGATCCACTATTACGGCAATTGCACATACTCCCTGGCCGAAACCAGGGAATGGGGCGGAGAGTGCAGCTTCCGGATTCGGGGGAAAAATGAGCACCGAGGTAGGAATTTGGCAGTTTCCTACCTGCGCTTTGTGACCTTGGAGATGAATGGACGCAAGGTCATTTTGCATCAAAACAATCGAGTGATGGTAAGACTTTCAGTATAATTTTTTTGCGGTATTCCAGAGACCGATTACGGCTCTACTCACAACCAATTGGGTTATGTAAATGTCGAAAAAAATTCTTTGCTAATTGTTGCCTGATGGATGCATTGACGAAGGCTCTTGCCATTTGTCCGGACTGGTATACTTTTAATTTAATTTGGGAAGTTGGGTGGAAGGGATTGGTAAGTTGGCCCAAAAGGATAGCTAAGAAGATATGCCTTTGACTTGTGACTGTTGGACTGTGCGGAGAAAATCTTGACTCACCATCCTGCGACCCCCAATTCTCCGTCTGAGCTGAGAGTATTAGACAACTCTTTGTCCAGCAACCTAACGATACCGTCCTACCAGCTTTAAAAAAAGATTGGCCAATAACTGAGGAAATACAAGGCCGTGACCATGTAAAAGGAAATACGAAAGTTTTACTCGGTCATGCCTTATTTTAGATAATATTGGACGCCTTCTACAGATCAAATTGTTATAAGGTTTTGTGCTCATGTTGTAGTGTGTCTTTGTGTGGGTGACTTGTGGATCCATACGTAAAATGGTTTCGGAACACAAAATCATATGTAATTGTTTTTCAGTTCAGAAGTTGGAGATAGCTGGACATAAGGTCACTGCAAGAGACTTGATAGAGTGATCTAAAACACAGCTCTTTGCCGGATATGAGGACTTCAAGGTTAAGTGAAGGATCAAAAGTCAATTGAGAATAACACTAGATACAGAACATCGTAAATAATAGGAACGAATGTAGGAGCTAAGCCATAAGTATCTCTGGCTGCTGGATAAAATTAGAAAGAGTGAGAGAGAGAGAGAGAAAGAGGAAACGGAAATAGCCACTGGCTAACAGGAGAAGACCTGACCAGCCTGGAGTCTAGTATGGGACATAATTGTTAACTAACTCGTAAGTGTGGCACATACACCCGCAAACACGCATCCACGAGGATAATACAAGCCAAGAAATGTTGTGGCCATATGCCGTCCCCTTCATACATCAACTTCGCTTGCATACATGCATGTAGGACAAGGTAAACGGAGCTAACGAGATCATGGAATGCCTCATTAGGATCGCAAAGTGAGGTATAAGGAATGAGTGGGATCTCAGCCGGCCACCTTTCTTGGTTTTTGGATTTTTAATGATTGCTCGTGAATAATGGTTTCTGGCTCTGATGATGTTCGTCACATGACGAACGAGAGCTCAGCACAAAGTAATCGAACTCGCAAGATCAAGGCAACTCTCCGTCGGTATCCGGTGAGGCCAATTTATGAATACCTTTCATTCACCTTTCAAACGAAATGAAAGATGCGCCAATATCCATATACTAAGGGATTCTTTAATAACCAGCTTCTCTCAATATCTTTGTATTCAAGCTCCTCGTCATTTCTTAGAAACACAGTTTATCCTAATATTTTTCAGGACTTCTTGTAAGGAAATTGAGAATAGAGGCACTTCGAATATCAAAGATAATTTGCAGATACAATGAGTAACTGGGTTAATCTCTTGAGATTACATTTTGGGGGAGACTTTCATTTCGTATTAAACCGCGTAAAGAAGAGGTTCGAAGGGCGATCTCACCAGAAGGCGACAGTTGATTCCCGTAGTACCGCAGTCGTTTGACTTTAATACGATGTTCAGGTTGAAGCGGTCGACTAGACATCCTTCCTCGTTTCGGATAAGCGCGGAGTGAGCTTTCGTCCATCATATGATGGAGATAATCAGAGCTTGAAACCATACTTGGAAAACTTTCATAGTAACATCAGTTAAAGAAGACTGTCCATCTCTATCTTGTGTTAACGTAGGAGATTTCAGTGAGACTGACTTAGATTGATCAACTTCATATTCTAATAAAAAAGTT